ATCTTCAGAAACGCGGGGAAATAAACATCTTGCAAGTTAAATCATGTGGCAATCTTACTGATTTATTTACCAAGTCTTCACCAATTTCTACATTCCAACAATATGATCATGGAATTTGTATGTGACGACTTAAAACTTGCAGGTGTCAGGGGGAGTCTCTTCTTGAGATATCCTTGTTCAAGACATCACATTATGCTATCTCTTTGTGAGTTTATGTTTCAGGTTTTTATCAAAGCTTTCATGAAGAATTTTTTGAAGGAGAATCCTTTTGAGATGATAGCACTACCCGGACAATCAACAGATGATTCTACATGGTCAAGCCTAAATTAGGGGGAGCGTTGTGATTATAATTACAACATATGTAATTAGGGAGGAATCTCCCCATGTCCAAACCGTCGTGCGGTTTGTCCCGCACAGACGTCTCTCATTTGTGCCCTCTGAAACCGAAGCCTTCCTTCGCTCGTGTCTCTCCACAGATGGTATAAATAGCGTCTGTAACCATCAATCAAGACAGAGATTTTTACTTTTCTCAAATAAAGAGAACGGTTAGGTCCGGTCAAAACTTAGTGGAGTATTTATACTCCACTAAGCCTTTTAGTCCCTTAACTTTTAGGGGAGTTAGAAATGCCCTTAGGATTCACTCCTGCGTGCGGCACGCCGCCCGGAAGGGAGCAACCAAAAGCAACCTGAAATGTTACTCTTGCTTGCCCAACTCAAGTCAACCATAGCTAGCTAAAATGGTGCTCCACTCAGCTATAGCTGCCTAACGAGCTCAGCTCCACGTCTCGATCTACCTCTCTATATTTAATTTGCCTCCAAAATCCATCTATATATATCGCATTCGAGCTAAACAACTCTTCATCCAAACAAGCAAAGGCAAATACTAAAGCTAGCTACGCCTACGAGTAGAAGAAACCAACAATGGCGCCGCTCGCACCCGGGAGGCCAGCAGCCTGCCTCCTGGCCCTTCTCTCCGTCGTCACGGCGCTATCCCTGGCGGCGCCGGGCTTGGCGGCGGGGAAGACCGGCCAGGTGACGGTGTTCTGGGGCCGGAACAAGGCCGAGGGGTCCCTGCGCGAGGCCTGCGACTCCGGCATGTACACCATGGTCACCATGTCTTTCCTCGACGTCTTTGGCGCCAAAGGAAAGTACCACCTCGACCTCTCCGGCCACGACCTCTCCGCCGTCGGCGCCGACATCAAGCACTGCCAGTCCAAGGGCGTCCCCGTCTCCCTCTCCATTGGCGGCTACGGCACCGGCTACTCGCTCCCGTCCAACCGCTCCGCGCTCGACCTCTTCGACCACCTCTGGAACTCCTACTTGGGCGGGTCCAAGCCTGGCGTGCCCCGCCCCTTTGGCGACGCGTGGCTCGACGGCGTCGACCTCTTCCTGGAGCACGGCACGCCGGCGGACCGCTACGACGTGCTGGCGCTGGAGCTGGCGAAGCACAACATCCGCGGCGGCCCGGGGAAGCCGCTGCACCCGGCGACGGTCCGGTGCGGGTACCCGCCCGGCGGCGCACGTGGGGCGGGCGCTGGCGACGGGGATCTTGGAGCGCGTGCACGTGAGGATCTACGAGGAGAGCGACAAGGCGTGCAACCAGTACGGGGCGTGGGAGGAGGCGTGGGACAGGTGGACGGCGGCATACCCGGCCACCCGGTTCTTCATCGGGCTCACCGCCGACGAGAAGTCGTACCAGTGGATACACCCCAAGAACGTCTACTACGGCATCACGCCGGTGGTGCAGAAGAAGGACAACTACGGCGGGGTCATGCTCTGGGACCGATACTTCGACAAGCAGAGCGACTACAGTAGCTACATCAAGTACTACGCCTGATCGGAGTTATACTTTCACAAGCCACGCTGTTGCATGCATCACCGTCGATTTGATTTCGATGTGTTGTTGCAAACTTGCAAGCGAGAATAAAGTGAGGCTTGTACTACTTGGGTAAATAAATAATTGACCAGCTGGTCGTACGTACAGTTATGGTTTAGTTATCAACTCAATGTCTTGAATGCTTGTGTTTTTGTTTGTACAATTACAGAGTCTTTCAACAAACATGATAGTCTCTTAGTAGCAAATGATACAAATACATTGGATCCTGACCGATTTCTCTATTTGGTTTAAAATTCTCAAGCTGATCACCACTCGGAACTACTCCCTCCGTCTCAAAATAGGTGTCTCAACTTTATACCGGTTGAGACACCTATTATGGGACGGAGAGAGTAGAAAATACATCTTTTAGCTAAAACATATCTAGATGTGTCATAAGTATTACATATTTAAATTCTATGCCATTGATTTTAGGGGAGGATTCATGCGGGTATTTTTTTTTCTTTATGTTTCATTGAGTCATTCTGTGCAATAACTAAGACACATCTAGATATGCCCTAAATATACCCAAAAGACATACACCAGCAATGAAATCCATACATAACATCGGTTTCCCCATGATAGCAATCCAAACGATCATATGCTTTCGTCATATCAATTTTCTACGCATAACTCATGTTCTTCTTTGCTTTATTAATCTTCATGAAGTGTAAGCACTCAAAAGTTATCATAAATATAATTAATATTAATCTGCCCAAGACAAAAGAAGACTGCTCCACAAAGATGATCTCTAGTAATAAGACTTTGAGCCTATTAGCAAGCACCTTGGACACCCCCTTATAAACCACATTACACAAGTGAATGGGTCTAAATTGCCACAAAGAAGTTGGATTAATAACATTGGGGGTGAGTACAATGATTTTTTTTCTTAATTACCTCCAAACCATCTTCTCTCCTTGGTATTGTATAAAGGCCAGCATCATTTTTTTTATCCTTCAGTCAAAGATTAGCGCGGTTTGACCCTAATCCGAACTGTGGCGTGTCACGTGCAACACAAAACGCGGCCATGAATAGCGTCACCAAAGAGGGTGAAATCCTGAAAAAGTGTTTAACTAAAATCAAATTAAGGGAGGGTCAAAACAGTAATTTTCGCCACCGCAGGAGAAGCGGTGCGCTGGCGCACCGTGTGTGCGTAGGTCAGCCAAGGCTGCGGCGCGCGGGTGGGCCGGTCCAAGCTGGTGGGCCAGTGCGGTCCATGTGCGGACAGGCTGGCTCAGGCGTGTGATGCGGGTCGCGGCAACATGCACCTCCGACTGAAGCGGCACATGCAGATTTCTTGATTTTTATTTTATTTATTTTTGGAGAAGGTCCAAGAGGAAAGGAGCACACGCGCACGAGAACCTTCGAGGCTTCGGCAAGAAACATATGCATGTGTGTGTCATGCCCGACCTATGCGTTGGTAAGCACAGCTGGATGGTGGGCCATCTCTTGGAGGTTGGTCCCACATGGAAGTCACATGGAGGCAAGGCTACATATACAGCAGGGGAAGCACAGGAGGAGGTAGCGAAGGAATGAATAAATGTTCTGAATCTCATCTCGTGTGCTTCTGGTCCTCATCCCCTTCTGTGATTCCTCACCCCCAATTCTCCCAAATTATCCCAAATCAATCCAAATACTGAGCTAATTTGTGCATCCTCGATCCATCCAACGATTGGGTCGTGATAATTTGGTAATTGGAGCAAGGTTGATCCACCCAAAATTTTCGCTGCCCCGTGATTTGTTCGTCCGCTCGATCGGTAACATCCGTCGCGTTCGGTGCGGCTTCTTTCAAGAGGCCGCTCGAAATCCATCGTGGGGTTCGATCCTCGGCAACAGCCACGACAGCGCCGACCCAACCATCTGCCCAGACAACCATGTTCTCTCCGGCATGGCCGCGAACACCGGCGAACTGAAGGTGTTGCTCGAGTCCCTCCTCAGCAAGTTGGATGAGACTAAAGCCACCGACGACAAGCGCCTGGGAGCGCAGCGCGCCTTCAACGAGCAAATCCAACATGATCTACAAAAGCAAATCCATCCTACCCGCAAAGCGCCTGACGGCGTCCGCAAGGCGCGCGACACCACGACGGCCTCCGCGACGTCCCAGGCAGGCTCGCCCACGCCGGACCTGCCGTGTTCACCAGCAGCAGTGTTACCGCTCCACCCTCACCAAGGCTCCACCTCATATGCGCGGCTGGTGACGGACTTGCCCCCGTTCCTTCCGACTAGTCCTGCAGTCACCACTCCAGTTCCTGTCTACCACATATTCGACGAAATGCCTGAGAGTGAGTTCGACCCGCGCATGCGCTCACTGCTAGAGCTGACACAGATGGGCACAGTGGCTGCGTATACGGCGATGTTTTGGGAGTGTCTACACCATGTGCTACATCTCAACCCCAGCCTGAGCACCAAGTGCTTCATCCACCATTACATCAAGGGCTTGCACAAGAATATTCAAGCAGCCGTGAAGACACTATTGGGGATCATAGCAGAAATTCAAAATTTTCTACGCATCACCAAGATCAATCTATGGAGTAATCTAACAACGAGGGAAGGAGAGTGCATCTATGTACCCTTGTAGATCGCTAAGCGGAAGCGTTCAAGTGAACGGGGTTGATGGAGTCGTACTCGTCGTGATCCAAATCACCGATGATCCTAGCGCCGAACGGACGACACCTCCGCGTTCAACACACGTACGGTAGGAGACGTCTCCTCCTTCTTGATCCAGCAAGGTGAGAGGAGAAGAAGTTGAGGGAAAACTCTGACAGCACGACGGCGTGGTGGTGATGGAGCTCGTGGTTCTCCGGAAGGGCTTCGCCAAGCACTACGGAGGAGGATGAGGTGTTGGAGGAGGAAGAGGGCTGCGCCAGGGGAAGGGTGCGGCTGCCCTCTCTCTCCCTCACTATATATAGGGGAAAGGGAGGAGGGGGGCGCCCTAGGGTTCCCTAGGGGAGGGCGGCGGCCACAGGGGAAACCCTAGATGGGTTTGGGCGCCCGCACCCCCTAGGAAACTTGCCTCCCAAGCCGGGAGGTGCGGCTGCCCTAGGGGTGGCGCCCCCACCTCTCCTGGTTACGTGAGATGGGGTGGGAGGGGCGCTCAGCCCCTTAGTGGGCTGATGTGCCCTCTCCCCTTGGCCCATAAGGCCCCCCAACGCTTGTCGGGGCCTCCGAAACCCCTTTCGGACACGCTGGTCATCACCTGATACCCCGGAAAAATTCCGGACTCCAATACCCTTCGTCCAATATACCGATCTTCACCTCCGGACCATTCCGGAGCTCCTCGTCATGTCCGAGATCTCATCCAGGACTCCGAACAACCTTCGGTAACCACATACTATTTCCCATAACAACTCTAGCGTCACCGAACCTTAAGTGTGTAGACCCTACGGGTTTGGGAACCATGCAGACATGACTGAAACAACTCTCCAGCCAATAACCAACAGCGGGATCTGGATATCCATGTTGGATCCCACATGTTCCACGATGATCTCATCGGATGAACCACAATGTCGAGGATTCAATCAATCCCGTATACAATTCGCTTTGTCCAGCGGTATTGTACTTGCCCGAGATCCGATCGTCGGTATCCGATACCTTGTTCAATCTCGTTACCGGCAAGTCTCTTTACTCGTTCCGTAACACATCATCCCGTGATCAACTCCTTGTTCACATTGTGCACATTATGATGATGTCCTACCGAGTGGGCCCAGAGATACCTCTCCGTTTACACGGAGTGACAAATCCCAGTCTCGATTCGTGCCAACCCAACAGACACTTTCGGAGATACATGTAGTGTACCTTTATAGCCACTCAGTTACGTTGTGACGTTTGGCACACCCAAAGCACTCCTACGGTATCCGGGAGTTGCACAATCTTATGGTCTAAGGAAATGATACTTGACATTAGAAAAGCTTTAGCAAACGAACTACACGATCTTGTGCTAGGCTTAGGATTGGGTCTTGTCCATCACATCATTCTCCTAATGATGTGATCCCGTTATCAACGACATCCAATGTCCATGGTTAGGAAACCGTAACCATCTATTGATCAACGAGCTAGTCAACTAGAGGCTTACTAGGGACATGGTGTTGTCTATGTATCCACACATGTATCTGAGTTTCCTATCAATACAATTCTAGCATGGATAATAAACGATTATCATGAACAAAGAAATATAATAATAACCAATTTATTATTGCCTCTAGGGCATATTTCCAACAGTCTCCCACTTGCACTAGAGTCAATAATCTAGTTCACATCGCCATGTGACCAACATCCAAAGAGTTTACAAGAGTCACTAATCTAGTTCACATCACTATGTGATTAATACTCAATGAGTTCTGGGTTTGATCATGTTATGCTTGTGAGAGAGGTTGTAGTCAACGGGTTGTAGCGACCAGACCTCAAACAGTCTGATCTCTGTGCTCCAGTGTCATCCCTGGATCAGTAATGCTGACACCACACAGTACTCGGAGGATTTATAGCAGAGTAGCAATCACACACTTATTACATCGAGTGTCTCAAAAGAGAACTTATTACAATAAGTATGGCTTAAGGCCATCTAATAACGATAACAGCGGAAGGCTTGGAAGATAACTGAGTCCATCAACTCCAACGGCATCACTGAGTATAAGACCACGACCTAAAAACTCCTTAATAGTCGTTTGATAAGTCTGCAACATTAACGTTGCAGCCCGAAAATGGGTCAGCACATGGAATATGCTGGCAAGGTAACACATAGAGAGTAATGGAATGGAACAGCTATACTATATGCATATTTGGCTGGTGGAAAGCTCTATGGTTACAGTTTTGCGTAAAGCCGATTTTTCCCTACTTCAAAGGAATAAAATTTCATTACTATCATGGTGGTTGTTAAACATTGAGAATGGTTGACAGCATTCTCAATCCCAATTAAGCATCATCATTAACAAAACCCAACAAAATTAATTTAGAGTAACATGTTGAGA